CGCTATAGCGAAGGTTAATCCGGAACGGATTAACCTCGCTATGCGAGGCACCACTGTATCTCCCTTTTAAGAAATTCTTATCCATACTGAACTCCCTTCTCTTTCAGCATCTTTGTCCATGGAATTACAGCAGTAATTCCGCCCTAAGTTTACTGAAATTGGCCTTCTTAATGTCTAGAATGCATGTCTCACTGCACTTGGCTTCCTCTTCCCACTGTATAACAAATTCTAAAAGAGCATGGTCGCTCCCACCTAAGGATCCCACCACTTCACCCCCATTAACAAGGTCATCCCTGTTGGTTAATAACAGTTCAAAAATAGATGATCCCCTTGTTGCCTCTTCCACCTTCTGGACCTTGAAATTGTCTGCAAGCCAAGTGAGGAATTTGCTGGACCTTATTTTCTTCACAGAGTTTGACTGCCAACATATATTGGGATAGTTGAAATCTCCCATCACTACTGCATCTCTCTCTTTTGAATGTGTGGCCATCTGCTCCAGGAAAGCATCATCCAGCTCCTTGGGCTGGCTTGTGGGCCTGTTGTATACCTCCACAATGACATCCCATTTGTTTCTCTTCGCCTGTTGTATACCTCCACAATGACATCCCTCTTTTTTCTCTCCCCCGTAATTCTTACCCAGATGCTCTCAACCTGGATTCCTGGATTTAAGTCCTGGATCTCTTCACAAGTATAAACATCCTTGACATATAAAGCTCCTCCTCCTCCTTTCTCGCTAGTTCTATCTCTCCGAAATAGTTTTTATACTCCCCAATAGCTACATTCCAGTCATGAGTTTCATACCACCAGGTTTCAGTGATGCCTATTATATTTATTTTGCTGTAGTAAGAGTTCCAGTTCATCTTGTTTATTTCCCATACTCTGTGCATTGGTGTAGAGACATTTAGGACCATGTGTGTCTTTTTCCCCCTTGTTTTTCTCTAGTGCCCTGTTGGACTTTTCTCTCCAGCACATGCTGAATTTCTGCCCTGAAAACTAATGACTCCCTCCCCCCCATAACTCAATTTAAAGCTCTCCTGATCAGATTTGTGAGCCTCTTAGCAAAAACAGTACTGCCGACAGCTGTGAGGTGCACCCCATCCCCTGCCCAAAGACTATCTTTGTGAAATAGCTGTTTTATATAGTGGCAGGAGCAAAAGCAATTGATTGCATGCGGTCAAGAGTGCAGACCTATGTATGTTTGTGTCTTGCCTTAAGATCTGATAGGCTGCCACCAAGGTTCCCTCTAAGCTGGGCATGTGTGTGTGTGCATCTCTGCCTCCCTGCACACAGCTGTCTTCATCATCCATGCAGCCATTGCATTAGGTTCCAGTCATGACAGAACCCAGTGTGCGGGAGCATGGATTCACACACGCACTCATGGTTGAAGTTGAGAGAGAGAGAGAGAGGTAGAGCCCCGCCCAGCAGGGCTGAAAAAGAGAGGGTACATTGGTTGCCACACTTCTAAATTCCCAAATATGATTACTGTGGAGTAGGCTTTATTTGTGCTAATATGATCCAAAGTGACTTTTACAGTCATAGGTTATGAAGAAGCTCTGATGCTTAACAGTGTGCCCTTTTGCAGCCTGCTATGCTCTAGCCGTGTTAGACAATTTCCAGTGCTCCCAGACAGCTGTGTATTATATAGTGCACCATGGCTGGAGGGCATCAAGTTGCGCAAGTCCACAATAGAGCTTCATAAATCTACTTCAGGGAAATTAGTGAGTGGTGGTGATAATGAAATCAGTATTTGTTGCTGTATGCAATTGGAACTTTTATGCATTCTCAAGGGATCTTCCCACTGCTCCTCAGCACTCCGGGAGATGATCGGGGCTGATTTTCTAAACATGCTTCTTCTTTTTGGAAACTAATCTCCTCTGAGCACTTGCAATGATCAGACACTTGATAAGTATGTCAGTTTGGGGGCACTGGGAAGAACCCTTCTGTGCAGTAAATTATAGGCACTCTATCGAGCTGCAGCGAGATGCATTATAACTATGGCACCCTTGGGTTTCAGTAAAACATTTCATTCTACCAGTCCTAAAGTTTCTGTGATTTGATGCAGTCAATAAATGTATGGGGAAAGTGATTTGGGAGTTTTTATTTCCCGGCAAATAATACCTTCTTGGTTTAAAACAATGCATATAAGGAGTGAATTCCATATTTAATTATACAGTTGGGATTTTAAAAAGATGTTCCTTCAAATGTTGTTTCTGTTCTTTAGCACCCCTCACCAACACCCCTCTTTCTTCTTTATGCTGTGCTGCTTGAAGCCACATCATGAAGAGGTGACTTTGAAAGAAAAGGATGTAAGGGAATAGGTGATTGAATTCTACTCTAGTGATTTAGTGCTCTGTTGATATCCTGATGTATTATTCCATTTCCAGAGTTTCTTCGTAAGCATTATGGCAAGCCTGAGACTTATGGGAATGATGTTCTTTCACCCTTAAAGGGTTATCTCCTTAAAAATAAATCAGATTGGGCTATTATAACCAATCTACTGGAAAAGGTGCTACAGATTGTTAAAGATTGCATTAGTATTATGCTTAATATTATCTTCCATATGCATTCCCTCTACTGCCCTACCATGATGTTAAGTGACTCTCAAGCCCATTGCTCTGTCGACAATGACATGGATTTGATATAAGGACCACTTGCAAGCAGAGCTATAAGTAGAATAGGATACAGTAATGGGTTTTGACCCAAGATGCTGAAATTCAGAAGGTGCAAACATTTGCTTCTGGAAGGTCATGAGCTGGCCTGCCTCAAACATTTATGGTCCCTGCAGCCTCTCCTCCTCAAGCAATATTTTGGAATGCAAACATTTGCTTCTGGAAGGTCATGAGGTGGCCTGCCTCAAACATTTATGGTCCCGGCAGCCTCCTCAAGCAATATTTTGGAGCCTTCTTCTGCACCAGGCTCCAGATAGTGGGTCTCCCACAAGTGAAGAATCTTAGGTGGGTTCTGCGTGGAAGCAGACTGTTCATCAGGCCTTCAGCCCCTGGTATTTCTCCCCATTCTTCTGACCTTTTCCCATGAATGGCTCACTCATGTGACCCACACTTAACCCTTTGTTGACAGAGCCCTTTGTGCCCAAACTGCAAGACAATGAGGTCCATCAACACAGTAATTGCAAGAGAATATGGGCCTGATAGTGTTGCACTGATGCCAGCTAGAACTAATGGGAGTTGCAATCCGGTAGCATCTTGACGGGCCACTGATGATGATGATGATGATGATGATGATGATGATGATGATGATGATGATGATGATGATGATTGTTGTTGTTATTGTTGTTATTGTTGTCATTGTAGTTGTAGTTGTTGTTGTTGTTTTTGGTGGGTGGTGAAAAAGCACCACAAGGACACCATTTGAAGCTACGTCCTTCTGGCTACAGCAATGTGTACCAATTGTAAGATTCTAAAGGACTTGTGGTGGTGGTGGTGGTGGTGGTGGTGGGTGGTGAAAAAGCACGAAGCTACATCCTTGCAATGTGTACCAATTGTAAAGTTCTAAAGGATTTGCAAAAATGTTTACAAAGCACATTAAGGAATAACAGACAAATAACTTTTCATTACAGAATTGTATACTCAAGTTTCTTTCCCACTCCCCTTTTTGTAGATGATGGCCCTTATTCAAAAGGAAACAAAGACTCAGGTGGACTGGACACTGCTTTGGTCTCAAGGAGGCAAAGTATTCCAGGTAGGTGCAACACTGTGTTACCCATGTATTGCTATTTAAATGTCTATGCAACATGCATGATCAGGTTCTTTGTTTGTTTATGACTATGTATACGTCTATGCCAACTTTGGCATCAAATTTTCACGTTCACCCTCTTACTAGAAATCGGAGATCTGCTGTTTGGAGCTTGGCGCAGAAGAAATACACTTGGAATTTAAAAAATTCTAAACCAAAGATTTTAAATTTATTCTGACTACTGGAACAGAACAGAGATCACAGTTCCTCTATACAGAAATCCACTCCCAGATACCTAGGGCTTTCTTCATTTACTTGTATAATTTAGGGTGAAGGTAAAAGTCATGCTGTTGCTATTATATTCGTTGTTGCATTTACTTGTATAATTTAGGGTGAAGGTAAAAGTCATGCTGTTGCTATTATAGGTTTTTCGTTGTTGTTTTTTAAGGAGTCAGATATTTTTACTGAGTTACAGAGGATCACCCAGAAATTTACCAGTAAATCCAATTCTGCCCATTCTTCTTCATTTAGATGTGGGCTGGGGAGGTAGATTGGTCCTTGGAAACAAAGGACGTCACAAGGGGTTGACTCCTACCCCTAGTGCCATTCATCTACCATTTTGCCCTTCTGCCTTCCAGACCTTCTTGTCCTCTTCTCCATACAGAGATAGACATGTTCTCTTTACCTGAGGAATGTTTTTGTTATCTCTGATCTTGCAGGTATCCAGCATCCCTGCCCTTCTTGCATCTCCCATTGAGAACTCTGTTGGGAATGGGTGGACATGGAACCCCATGGTTACCTTATATCAGGGATAACAGCAAGATTGCCTTGCCTGTGGCTTGCCTTTCCAGGTGGAAAGCAAGAAGCAGGAAAGGAATTAATCCAGCTACAAGGGGTGGAGCTTCAGGCACTGAGCAAATCATCTGTTGGGCCTTTCTGGGCAGGATTAGGCTCATAAGGTAAAGGACTCCAACACCGTAAGGCATGGTCAAACTGTGATTTAAAATATGAGTTCCATAAAGACCCAGAAATATGAGCTCCAGAAGGATCTCTCCAAACTGGGAGAATGGGCAGAAAAATGGCAAGTGTGTCTCAAATATAAAAAAATGTAAAATAATGCACATTGAAGGGAGAAAAATTAAAATTTTAGTTATCAGCTAATGGGTTCTGAGCTCTCTGTGATGGATCAGGAAAGAGATCTTGGTGTGCTGATGGACAGCTCGTTGAAAGCATCAAACCAGTGTGCGGCAGCAGGGAAGAAGGCCAATTCCATGCTAGGTATCATTAAAAAGGGGGTTGAAAGTAAAACAGCGGGGATTGAAAATAAAACAGCCAACATTATAATGATAATGTACAAAATGCTGGTAAGGCTGGACCTGGAGTATTGCATACAGTTCTGGTCACCGCACCTCAAAAAAAGACATAATGGAACTGGAAAAGGTAGAGCAGAGAGCAACTAAAATGATAACTGGGGTGGGGCACCTCCCTTATGAGAAAAGGCTCTGTAGTCTGGAGAAAAGGCGCCCGAGGGGGGAAAGGCTACAGTGTTTGGGGCTCTGTAGTCTGGAGAAAAGGCACCCAAGGGGGGGGACATGACTGAGACGTATACAGTTATGGAGGGAAGGATAAAGTGGACAAAGGAAAGCTCTTTTCCCTCTCACACAATACCAGAATCAGGGGACATACACTCAAATTGAGTGTTGGGAGAGTGAGAATAGACAAAAGAAAATATTTCCTTTACCAGCATGTTGTTCATCTGTAGAACTCCTTGCCACAGGATGTGGTGGTGGCATCTGGCCTAGATGCCTTGAAAAGGGGATTAGACAAATTTCTGGATGAAAAATCCATCACAGGTGACAAGCCATGATGGGGATGTATATTCTCCAGGCTTAGAAGGAAGGTATCTTCAAATGCCAGATGCAGAGGAGGAGTATAAGGAGAAAAGTCTCTAGTTGTCTCGTGTGCTCCCAGAGGCATCTGGTGGGGTCACTGTGAGATACAGGAAGCTGGACTAAATGGGCCCTTCTCCTGATCTAGCTTGGCTTTTCTTATGTTCTTATGAGTTCTGTATATGTGTAAAGGTAGAATCTACTGATTTTCAACTTTTGGTCCTCTAGATCTTTTGAACTACAGCTTTCCTAATTCTTGACCATTAGCTATGCCCAAGGTTGCTGATAGTTGAAGCCTAACAGCAACTGGAAATTTGAGGGCCAGGGATAATAGCAACCCACTGTTCAGGTTGAAAAAGGAATAAAGAACAAGAGTGATCTCTCTATCAGATTCTTGTTTCGTATATCATAAATTGTTGTGGAATTGTTCATGATTTGAGTAACATGCTATTGTTCTTTTAAAATAAAATACGGAAGTCAATCTGAAATTCCACATAAATAGTAAAAAGATTCTAAACAATCTTAATCAGATTGAAGCACTATTTAAAACACTATTTCATACTTGCTCCCAAAGCATTAGAATTAACTGTAATAATTGTATTATATATGTTTATTTTAATGTTTTAACCTATGGAAGCTGCCCCAAGTAGACGTAGTCTAGAGGGGCAGGGGAAAAATCGAATGAATGAATGAATGAATGAATGAATGAATGACTCTCAGGACCACTGTGTGAAATTCAGGTAGATGTAACGCCTGAGAACTAGGGCACATGAGAACTCTGGTAAGGTCTTATCACTGCTTTTGACCCCTATTTGCTGATGCAGAGCCTGATTAAAGGTCTTAAGTTTCTCACTTCCCTTTCCTTACTCAGACACATCTTGCTAATTTTCACTGAGGAAGTATTTGTTCTTCAGAATCCACAGTTCCTTCTGCATTAATTACATTGTTGTGATACTGTGTAATACTAATGTGATCAGATGATATTTCAGTATTTTTAGTGACCCTGAACACTCTTTCCTAGTACCTGTAACTATTGGGTTGACAACTATATATGTTATAATCATTCACAGAGGGGACACAAAAATATGTTCTACACTGTACTGCTTCCTGAGAGAAGAGGCCGTAGTGAAGTTCTCTCTAGCTGGGCCAGAAAATGAAATTGGAAAAGCCCACCTCAAAGGAGAGGTATTTCAATAAACCTAATTCTTCCTTGGCTAGGGTTAAATTCTAAAATAGAAGAGTTCTAAGATAAGAAGCTCTAACACTTCTTAATTCTCCTCTGCTGTCAGTTCTTCAGTACAGCAGGTCTGACTCCCATTATTTACCTGGCTGGCAGAGTAGCTATGGAGCCCAGGGTGAAAAAAAACAAGGGGTGGGGGGAAATGCCCGTTTTCCTCCCTCTTCACTGCCCTGACACACTGTGGAAAGAATCTTTGTTTTCCTCCTGATGGGGATGCATTTCTGCAAGACAAACCTGATGTGATTCCTTTACATCAGAGGAGACAATTTCTGTGGACTGGAGGTTCAAATAACCAATTTACCTTCATTGTGAGATTCTGCATTGCCTCAGTCTAATTTAGGTTTATGTTCCATTGAGTCTTACAATTCAGCCTAAAGCTACTTAGTGTTGTTATTGCCCAAAGTCTGCCTACCCTCTTTGTCTGCTTCAGATTATTCCTGTTCAGGTACTTTCATGCGTTCTCAAACAAGCACTGATTGCATGGGTTGGACAGTGGCTATATTTATCCTTGGATATGTAGTCTTCAAAAGGCTGCAGAGTGTAATTGATTTAATATACTCAGACTTGTGACTGAGCAGAAACCAAGTATGTATTTCCTCTGCAGACATGCTTTTTATCTCTGTCCTCCATCAATTTTTGCCTTCCAGTGTGATTCTATGTATCAGTGGAAAGTAGAGCCGGTTGAGGTCAGCGATCTCTACTTCAGTGTCAGTGTGTTTTAATTCCTTCTAAAGTAGTGATCATCACTGCTACATCACTGCCTGCCTTATGCTGCCTTGCTGCTTTGTGGCCATGCTTTTGTTGCCTAAGATAGTAAATTGCACTAAATTAGGCCCATTGAATCAGTGGAGATGTGGTGAATCAACTCTTCCACAAGCTCTGTTTATTCAAAAGGGCATATTCTAGTGCATCTTATTACACTAAACAACAGAATTTCAGCTGGCATGTGAACAGGTTTGAATTCCTGGTACTCCTCATCAAAAGGCAGGTCAGAATCCTATTGATGAGTTATTCTGCCACATGATAAAACACATAAACTGCTGTGGCAGATTTCCTTTCCTTAAGAGGAATGGTTAAATAATGGAACTAGTACCTTGTTAAGGAGCAGCAGTTTGCCAACTTGACTTAGGCAGTATTCCTTAAGGGATAAGGGTGAGATCTCCAGTAGGATTTGGACTATGGTTTTATAAGTGGACCTCACTGGGCATTAATTGTAAAAAGAAAAAAAAAACCCTACTTCTTAGTTCAGTGACAGTGACTGAGAATGTTGGCGGGAAAGAATGTTAGTTATACGTATATGACTTCTCCTTGATTAAAAAAGGAATATTAGTGACACCTTCATCTTATATTTGCTTAAAGGTATTGGGGATGGAAATTCTTGCACATGGCACTACTCTGCATTGTACAAATGTCCTGGGGGGCGAAATCTAAATAGGATTTAATCTTCAATATTACTTCCTTGATGGATGATTGTGCTCGTTAGGTGGGAGGAATTCTGTTAAGCAGTTACCTAAACCAATTGTTAAGTCTTCTTTGAAGATGTAATAACAGTAGTGGCACACCATTAGTGTTTATTTGTTGCTTCTCTGAATTTTTGAGGAGGAAATTTGTGATATTGTAGCCAGATGGCACTCAGTTTGGAACAGCAGGGAATGGAGAGTAATGTCTGGCAGTTACTGAGATTCTGGACTGACAGAAAGAAAAGCTACTGTAGTTGATGTCAATTAAATGATTCAATATTAAAGAGTGCTAAGAAATTAGAAGGCATCCTTGCAGTGTTAAAAGGAGGTACAGCAATCAATTAACTGCCTTCCAAACTGATGGCCGAGACATTATTCCCCACAACTGCCAGAAAGTATAGTCTTTGTGGCGAGGCC